CATATGTAATAAATGGTAAATAAACTCAGTACTCTTTCCGTTTAGCTCATTTAATTCTTACAACTCAATTAAATAAACACACAATCATACCAAAGGAAGATAAATACTTTCTAGTGGTTACCTCTAGAGAATGGTACTTTGGTCACAGTGGGGAGGAGGATGGGAAGGGTATGTGAGAGAAGACTTTCACATTTTACCATAAATTGCGCGGTGCCGTTTTAATTTTTTATATTTAGCTTATACTAGTTTTGAAGTTTTTTCAATACAGAACAAAATAAAGTTCCTTTGGAGCTTTCAATATGAATATAGGAGATTAACTGTAGGAAAAGAGAACCTTTAGAATGTAAAGAGCTGAAATACTGTCATCTTTAAAAAACAGTTGTTTAGAATATAAGCATGTTGTCAGTTTTAAAAATAGGATACTAAGATTATATTCATCAGCAGTCTGCTATACACATTACTTTATCTAGTGAAATGATGTCAGAAGGCAAGCATGGGTGTGTGACATTCACATGGTTATAGGATCACATCACTAGCACCCTCTCTTCATACTTTAAAAGGAAGTTTTAATTCTGCAGATGAGGTCTACTCTATACAACATTTTAGCCCCACTGATCTACTAAATTAAGTTAATCCTAACAACAGCCTTATATTAAATAACAAAACAAAGAGTAGTACAACAAAAACTCGTATTTAAAATACAAAATCTTCTCAATGTAATATAAAGCCTTTAATTAAACACTTGTTATATGCCAGGCTTTGGAGTAAAAAGGAATATAAGAGTAGAAAAAGAAATACTACAGATTTCTTGTGTTTAAGAAACTCAGTTTAATGATAATAACCCACGACAAATAATAACAACAAAAGGATAAAATTTAGTAGACACACATAATCTGTTATGGGAACACAGAGAAGTGTGACCAACTAATTCCTAACTAGTCTAAGTGGTATCAATTATTTTACTTATTTTCTTATTCTATAGAGATACATATATTCTATAAAGATTTCTTATTCTACAGAGATATTCATAAAAATTTCTGAGAATTTCTAATTTTACTCTATAAGGATATGAACTTACAGATTTTATAGAAATACCAGCTATGTAAATGTTTATGAACGTAGCTCTCCAACAAAATGGAATTCAAAAATACATTATATTATGATTAAATTTGGTGAGCATTTATTTTGCACTAGGTATCTGAAGAAATTTTGTAATAAAATCTACCGACATTTATTTACAGGAGTGGTTCTTAGCCAGGGGCAATTCTGCCCCCAGGAAACATTTGGCAATGTCTGGAGACATTTTTGCTTATCACAATTGGTGGAGGTGTGCTACTGGCATCTAGGGGTTCTAGCAGGGATGCTGTTAAATACACTACAAATGGAGAAGACAGCCTCCTAAGACAAATAATTAGCTGGTCCATTATGTCAGAATTACTGAAGCTGAAAAACCCTGTTACAGTAATAGCTTACTAATCTGCAATTCGAACTATTTAGCAGACTCATGTCCTTAGAGTCAGCCAAAAAACCAGAAAAGTGGCAAAAAATACTTAAGCAAACAAAAAAAACCCCAGGTTGAAAGGCGCTATATGTTATGAAGTACATATTATATGCCAGGCACTATAATGAGACCTTGCCTCTAAAGGCATCAAAATTTCCTGAGTAAAGAAATCTGCCCAAGACTGCCTTGCTAGTTAGAGCTGAACTGTAAGTCTCCATCTACGTGATCTAAAGCTCATGCTTTTCCCACTGTTATCACGAGGCATCCAAACCGATTTTATCAAGTCCAGTGTTCACAGACTTTACTAATGAGAGAGCCCCTCAGACCCTGACTCAAGGTTTAGTTCCTCATATTGTAGACAAATGCCAGTAAGTCTGGTTTTCTGGTCTTTAAATCCAAAAATAATTTATAGTAGCAAATAAAAGGGCTGCTATAAGCTGGTACAAGGGCCAGAGGGAAATGTGAAAATTAGAATGAGAGGATATAGCAAAACAAAAACAAACAAGAATACAAAAAGCCCCAAAGCCTAGGGCCTTTATTAAGGAAATAAATCATTCTGTACTCTACAGGGCTACAATGGGGGAAGAGAAGGAGAGAGGGAACAGAGAAGGAAGGAGAAATGAGGGAAGGAGAGAAAGGGAAGGGGTTAGAGATAAGTGAAGAGAGAGGAGATGAAGAGGAAGGGGGAAAGAAATAGAGAAGGAGAGAGTGAAGGGAAGAAGCTGGAGAAGAGATTGGGAGAACACAAATCAAGGAAAGACCAAATGAAGAAAACAACTTAGTGAAATACCGTGGGAAAAATTCAAACAAAGACAGAGAAACAAGGAAATGACCCTAACCCAAGAGAACCTGGGATGGAGACAGAAATAAATGGAGAAGACAGAAGGGAAAATGAAAAGTGTCCAAAAGGTTCCTAGAAATAAATGTTTAAACTACTCCTATTCCAAAAAGTCTCTCTCTCTATATGTATATACTGTCCATTATGGTTGGCATCTACTAGCCACGGGTTGCTATGAGCACTGTAAATGTGGCTACTCGGAATTGAGATGTGCTATAAGCATAATATACACACTTGACTTCAAGGATTTAGTATAAAAATGTTAAATATTTCATTAATATTTTATATAAATTACATCAAGTGATAATAACTTACAATATACTGGATTAAAGAAAATGTATTATTAAAAATAATTTCACATGCTTCCTTTTCCTTCTTTAATGTGGTACTAGAAAATTTAAAGTTATATTTGTGGTTCACATTATATTTCTACTGGAAGGTGCTGCTCTAGATTTTTAATATTGCTTTAGGATCCATACTAGTGCCAGGGTGATACTAAAAAAAAAAAAAAAAAAAATCACTGCCACCCTTACATCCATCCCCAACTTTCAGAATCCCAGCTGGCAAAAGATGTGGAACTACATATCTAGATGTCAACCTGATTATGACAGGAACCATGAGTTCAAACAGGACATAAACCTATATTAAATTGTTTTTAATGACTAAATCTAGGCAAGTGGTAAGACTTACTAGACTTGAGTGAAGAATGGTAAGATAAAACTGGGAAATTTAATAGAAGGGAGTGAAATGAGGATATATAATTTACAATTCTGAAAGAATTTTGGGTCTCAAAGACTTGACCTTATCCGACAAGCACACTGAAGCATGCATTTGAAGACATTCATTACATTCATTAAAAAATGGAAACATACTGAAAATAAGTCAATCAGAGAAAGACATGTATCATATGACCTCACTGATATGAGGAATTCTTAAACTCAGGAAACAAACTGAGGGTTGCTGGAGTGGTGGGGGTGGGGGCGATGGGGTGACTGGGTGACAGACACTGGGGAGGGTATGTGCTATGGTGAGCGCTGTGAATTGTGTAAGACTGATGAATCAACAGACCTGTACCTCTGAAACAAATAATACATTATATGTTAAACAAAAAAAAAAGAAGATAGTAGGAAGGGAAAAATGAAGGAAGGGAAATCGGAGAGGGAGACGAACCATGAGAGACTATGGACTCTGAGAAACAAACTGAGGGTTCTGGGGGGAGGTGGGTGGGGAGATGGATTAGCCTGGTGATGGGTATTAAAGAGGGCATGTATTGAATGGAGCACTGGGTGTTATACGCCAACAATGAATCATGGAACACTACATCCAAAACTAATGATGTAATGTATGGTGTTTAACATAATAAAATAAAATAAAAAGAAAGAATTGTAAAAAAAAAAAAAAAAAAAGGAAACATACCTAAGGATATTTTTGAAAACTCTTTCTCAAGCACCTATTCAATGTTTTTCAAAGTCGTTTTAAAAATATCACTTTCTTGTCCCTCATATAAAATAATTTTCTCATCTGTTATATGAAAATACATGCAGACTATTCCAAAACTTCACTAAAGGAAAATAAACACATATGTACTTGCTTCAACTATGAAAAAAAAAAACCCTAATCTATTTTATATTTATTGTACATCACCATATTGAAAAAACAATTTTGTTACATAGTGACTATATTCTCATCTCCTTTTATTTCTGTGAAGTAAAATAAACTCCAAGCCGTAGTCTAATTAGTAGACAGCAAAAAATTAAACATTTTGGAAGGATTAAAGAGTGCCATTCAAACTTTAATGTACATACAAATTCACCTGAGAATCTTAATTAAAATGTAGATTCTGATTCAGTAGGTCTGGGGTAGGGCCAAACAGTACATTTCAAACAAGCTCCAATGTGACAGGAATGCTGTTGGTCTATGGGTCACAGTTTTAAGGGGTTAAAATATATAATTAATCCCAAATTTAAAATGTAGCAGAACAGTGTATATTGAGGAAACTAAAAAAAGAAAAAAATTTTTCTCAAAGGAGCCATTCTGTTTCCTCTTTATGGCATCACCTCAAATAACAGGCATTTTAGTGTTTCCAAGAGTTGGCTGTCCAGCATTACCAGGTTCAAAAACATTACCAATGTATCTATCAAAGTCAAGAATTCTTGGCTTCTAATAAAGTTCAAGTCAATATTTATTTGGGACGAGGGCACCTGCATTTATCCTGGGCTCTAATCAAGACCCAAAAAAACAATTAGAATATCAGGGAAAAGAGAGAGGAAGTTTTAATCTTTCTCTTGGAATAACGGTTATGCCTATGAAATTCAACACATACACGTACTTATGTACGAACGTTTATCATTATCACATAAAAATGAATATTAAAAAGGCAAAAAAAATATATCATGTCAAAAACAGTGAAGACCTGATGATGGACCTCTTAGTGACCTTTTTCTCTTTATTATTTTCTGAACCTACCAAATTTTCTACAAGCAAATAATACTTCCATTATTCAAATACACTGAAATTAATAACACATGACAAAATCCATGAGAAGTAGCAGAGGAAAGCACTAATATTAGGTGACTACTCAAGAATTTCTTGTTAATGATAGTTAAAAAGCATCTGAGATAAGTATAATAAGGAACAAAGAATTTTAGATGAGTTACTTACCTTAGTAAAGTTATTCAGATGGCCTAGTTTTCTCATATTTGATACTCCTTGCAATTTGGCCACATTTTGGAGAATCTCCCTTAAGTTGTCAGAAGGTTCTAGAAGAAAAGACAAGACAAATTAACATAATTTTAGAGAGTATTTTCCTAACCAAACACATAAAGCATGCAGTATTAAAACTCCACAACTTTGGCTCTTGGTTTAAAATCTTGTTCTCTATCTCAAATCCATCTACTTAGGTGACTTCAAAGTCTATGTGGATGACTCATTAAATGACCTTCACACCTCTACTCCACTCATACCTATGGTCCAACTCTGTGTATCATCACCTGGAATTATTTAACTACTAAATCTGAAATTTCAATATCCCAACTATTACTTCTTGCCACAATATACAACAAGCACCAAAAAAAACTGTCCAATACACTCCAATCAACCAAAAAACAGGACAAAATATATGAAACTATAGTTCTCAAAAAACACAGGACCTCAGGAAGTAAAGAACTGATCCCTGAGAGGTGAGAAACACACAAGTGTGCCCTACAACTGCCCCTAACTATCTCAAGATAGCTAACTATCTTAGTTTTCAGGCCTTGGTGCTGACAGGTGAAATCCAGGTAAATAGCCCGAGTTTTAAAGACAGAACTGAGTCCAAGAAAAACAAGAAGAATTAGAAAAGAGAATATTACACGAACAGAACTCTGAAGATCTGCAAAGGGACCCCTCAGGTAGTTGGTAGAGCAATGACTGGTGCATGTGTATGAAGAAATTAACTACTCAAAAGAATTAAAAGGAAAGTACCCTCTGTTCACACAGGACAGGGAGCAGTGCCTGTTCCTAACAGCCAGATTAAAAATCTGTACAGCTCACGTGGACTGGTTAGAGTATTCAGAAAAATCTTGGCTAAGTAGTGGGGAACAATCAGATACAGACTAAACACTTCTTTTATCCCACCTAATAAATCTTCAAAGCAAGACTTGAAAGAATTGAAGTATTTCCAAGTAACTAAACTGTGTCTCAGACCAAAGGTCAAGATTTAAAGAAGTGAAAAAATATGAAGCACCTAACAAGGCAAAAATTACAATGTTTAGCAGCCAGTCAAAATTCATCAGACATGCAAAGAAGCAGGAAAATATGACCTATAAAAAGCAGAAAAATTAATCAACAGAAAATGACCCAGAACTAACAAAGATGTTAGAATTAGCAGATAAGAACATTAAAAGTTTTTATAACTATAGCTTATATGTGCAAAAACTTCAAGCGAGGCATGAAAGGTATAAAAATCACTCAAATTGAATTTCTGGAGATGAAAACTAGGTCTAAATGAAAATATACCAGATGGGAATAAATGCATAACAACTTTTATAGAAGGTAAGAACTATGAACTTGAAGACAAAGCAATTGACATTATCCAAAATGTAATATAATACAAAGAGAAAAAAGAAATAAATGAAAAGAACATCAGTGAACTGAAGGACTTCAAATAGCCTAACACAATGACAAAATGTTTAACTGGAGTCCTCAAAGGAAAGAAATGGGGGCTAGAAAAATTACTTGAAGAAGTAATGGATGAAAACTTCCCAAATTTGATGAAAACAAGCCAATAAACCCAGGAAGTTCAACCAACCCCAGCACAAAAACATGAAGAAAACTAGACCAAAGCACATCATAATCACATTACTCAAAACCACTGGCAGAGAAAACCTTCAAAGGAACCATATTAAAAAAGACAAGTTATATGGAGAGGAGCAAAGAAAAGGCTGACAGTAGACTTCTCACGGGAAACAAGGCAAATGAGAAAACAGTGGAGCAATATCTTCAAAATACTGAAAGAAAAAAAAAAGCTTTAAAAAAGTGAAAAACAATCTTAGCTCACTTGCTTTACAAAAACGGGCAACAGCCAGACATAGCCCTGTCCACCAACCCCCCTGGAATAGAGTGTCAATTTCCTCAGGTTGCTACAAGCTATTTTTCTATTCAAATATTCAGCATCCCATTTGCTTAAACAAAACAAAAGCACAAGGTAAAGAAGAAAAGAGTATCACATTGCTGATATTTTAATCTAAGAGCCATTATGACTTCGAGATTTTTATCTGTTAACACAAAACCAAAGAACTATTTGTTTTGAATTACTGTTTTCCTCAGTAAATGAAACTGCATTGTCCTATTTTACATTTAGCTCGCATCTGCCTATTTTCCTCCATTCTGTTAGACTGGGTGTTAGCCATGACAACCACAAACTGGTTAGTGCCAAACCATTAAGCACACTACATATCCCAGCTATTTCCAAGCACTTTAAAATTGCTACATACTGAGATCATTCATTTGATTTCAGAGCATCTCCTACAAATTTTGGATATTTTTTTTTAATTCCAACGTAACTCAATCTAATTTTAAATGGTTTAGTATATGTCTTTATAATTAGTGACCTGAGGTTATCTTAAAAGTGGAATGAAAAAAAAAAGAAGATAGCAGGGGGGAAGAATGAAGGGAGGGAAATCGGAGGGGGAGACGAACCATGAGAGATGATGGACTCTGAAAAACAAACTGAGGGTTCCAGAGGGGAGGCGGGTAGGGGGATGGGTTAGCCTGGTGATGGGTATTAAGGAGGGCACGTTCTGCACGGAGCACTGGGTGTTATACGCAAACAATGAATCATGGAACACTACATCAAAAACTAATGCTGTAATGTATGGTGATTAACATAGTAATTTAAAAAAATTAAAAAAAGTGGAATGAAAGAAGCTCATCACTTGGTAGAATCCGATTTCACTAAAAAGAACTGCAAGGAACCATGAAGAAGTCAATGTTAGTATTTAGTAACATTTTTCACTATTACAAATGGTATCTGGAGAGATTAAAGAAGAAAATTATAAGTAAGCCAATGGTGTCAAAATGATTTAACTATATTTCAGAACTTTATACAAATTTTATAACAACCTTCAAGGTAATTTAGAACCTACAGCAGTTTACAAAATCAGAGTTAAGATCATTAAAGTCAGTGTGAAATTCACCTACTGGAAACATATAACCTAACCGGTTCACATCAACTTATAATTAGGTTTTTAAGCACCAAAGCTTCACTGAAGTGATCCCAAGTTACTATTATGTAATGATCTGATAGGACCAACAGTTAAGATCATTAGTCTGGAAAGATTTATTCTTCACAAAGGTTTGTGGATTTCTAATTATTGCCTATTTTCTAGGTCCAAACTGTAGACATTTTTGAAAAACCACAATCTTGCTACAAAAAATCTCATATCTGAGTTCATTCACTCAACAAATAATGTTTAAACATCTATTATAGTTAAGCACTATTTTAGGTAGTGGAAATACATCAGTGAGCAAGAGACATCCTTCTTTAACAGACCTTACATACAAGTGGAAGAAAACTGACAACAGCAACAAAAAAATTTCCCTGCATACAATCTGAAAATTGACAGGTGGTGAGAAGTCAACATTGGATCAAATGTTTGCCTAATGAATAATGATATAAAATGAACTTAACACTAATAATACAGGTATTACAGTTGTCAATCTAAAACAAAATGAACTAGCCTTTCTCCTTCCTTCCCCTTCTCACCCCCTTTCTTTTATATAATCAATTCCCAGGAACCCCCAACTACTGGACAACTTTCAAAGTTTCTTCATAACATACTTGCTGGGGGTGCCTGGGTGGCTCAGTAGTTAAGCATCTGCCTTCGGCTCAGGTCATGATGTCAGGGTCCTGGGATCGAGTCCCACATTGGGCTCCCTGCTCAGTGGGAAGCCTGCTTCTCCCTCTCCCACTCCCCCTGCTTATGTTCCCTCTCTCACTGTGTCTCTATCAAATAAATAAAATATCTTAAAAAAAAAAAAATATTTGCTGAAAAACAAGCTGTTTCCTCCCAGAAACTATGCTACTTCCCAGACCAATGAGGACCATTTTAGATGAAATACTATGTAATGCTCATGTGCTACGATGTTCCCATGGAAATAACAGGTTAAAGTTCCTGGAAATGAAATGAGAAATCCCTGGTTTCTTCCTTACCTGCTAAATCAGGAGTCTGCAAACTTTTTCTGTAAAGATCCAGACAGTAAGTATTTTAACCCTTGCAGGACATAAAGTCTCTGTTGTAACTACTGCTGTTGTACCAAGAAAGCAACTGTAGAAAATACATAAATGAATGAACGTGGCTTTATTTCAAGAAAGCGGACTTGGCTCACATAGTTTTGGCTCTGTAATCTGTCAACTCCTGTACTAGATAATCAGAACTTACACTAGGATGAGTAGTGGGGAAACTGAGCTCAAAGTGGTTTTTACTGGGGGTTGGGGAAGATGGGAAGAAGCAAAAAGAAATTTAGGAAAAAGTTTACCTCTTTTTATTTCTTCCTACTCTCACTTAATGTTTCCAATTTAGCTTCTCCAAAACTATCTACTGATAACAGGGTTATGTGAGAAGTATAAAGCACAAATGAGATAATCAGGATATTCCCAGAAGCCTTGATGTTTAGGAAACCCACAACTGCCTAACGGGAAAAAAACTGCGGCTAGCTGGCTATGATGGCAAACCATTCAAAAGCAAGGAAGCAAAACACAAAAGAACTAGTAGAATTATAGTGGCTCTTTTCCTCTCATTGTGTAGCTTGTGAGTCCTGAGTGTTCCTGATGACTCTCTCTGGGGGTAATGAAATAAACAGTCAACTCTAAATATCTAGCAATTTAATATTATATAAACACATATACATATACATACATGCAGAAAAACACCAAAACTACAGTAGACAAACCTTTTATCTAGATCTATATATGTACAGACACATACATACACACTCATTCCCCTCCAGCTCAAGTCTCCATGTAGGTGCACAGGCACACATATATGCACAGGTACATGTGTATGTCTATATTTGTGTGAGTAAATATGATTTTACAATGTTTTCAATATTTACTGCTTTGTAACATGCTGCAATAAACTTTATAGAAATACCTTTATCTGTCAATAAATACAAAACATAAAAGCGATTTTTAAATAAATTTAGGTTCAAGTACACGTAGTAAATTAATGACAAAAACTACCAGCATACAGCTATTTGGAAGTACTGTAAAGAACAATTA